CGAGATTGGAGCAGAGTATTTGAGGAGTAGAAACCAAAAATCAAACGGATTGAAGCAAGAAGTTGCGATAGATTCCGATTGACTTCCGGCGAAAGAGCGTCGACATCTCTCCACGCGGCGAAAATATCCCAAAAGGGAAGGGATAGACTCAGTGAAGGTAGAGAAACATAAAAAGCAAAAATCTATTAATTATTTTTTCTTTACAAAAAAACACAAAAAGAACAAAAATTATTGCGGAGTTGTTGGATATTTTAATGGGCCATATTGGATAAATCTCGGCCCATAACTATAATTAAATATTAAAATAATTATTTAATTCGCCAACCACTCTTAAATGATATAAACCACACTGGAAAGTAACCAACACGCAACAAACTTGTGGAATTTCATATTCACCTAAAGTCAAATTGGTGGGTACAAGAAAACCCAATTACTAAAGCAACAATTATTATAAAATTAAAGATTCACTAACATTATATCAAAGATTCACTAACATTTAGTAATTGAAAATAATTAAATGATTAGAGAGAAGCAAAGAAGAAGAGGAACAAAGGAAAATATTTTGTTGTTATGTTTTTTGCATTCTGTTCTAAGTATACACAAAACCTAAGTATAGTATACAAAACAAAGAAAGCATGTTAAAAAATGAGAGAAGCCAACAAGTAAAAGAAAAAAAAAACATCAGCTACTACTCTTTACATTGATCTCACTCTATAAACTCTTCAACAAAAACAGCATCAAGACTTGTCTCCAAAGTCTAAATGCATCAGAGAATGAGACCTTTAGAAACCAAACCTATACAGGCTACAATGATCTAGGTGACATTGCATCTTGAGCTGAAAAATGTGAGAGATTTGACTGTTTCTTGTTCAGTTTCGACCTTAGATGCCTGATTTTCGCGTCGACCCTAGCTGTGAACCCGATCTTTGTCTTCTCTCGCGCTTTTGTTCGCTCTCGGGTCCATAATCTCGCATCCTCGACATCTCTTTTGTAGTATTTGATTTCTTGGATGATATGATGATCCAATGGATTCAAGAATCTCTGGAAAGAGATGTGTGCAACGTAAGGAAGAACCGCAGCTACTGTGACCAACAATGTAGCCATCCAGTAAATAGGTGCAGGAGCTAGAATCTCATCAAAAATCCTGTAAATGTTTCCTGAAAGACTTGGAGGCATCATCCCGTAGAGCGCTAGAAAGAGATACCACAAACCGATGCTTCCCCATATCAAAACGTGTTGGATCCAAGTGAAATGAGACATGGTTAACGCGATTTGAACATTGACTGCCCAGATTATGCAAGTGTACATGGTTGTGCCAACAGCATCCATGTCAGCTGTTTGGCCACCTTTTCTGAAAGCTTGAGAGTAAATGATTCCAATGTTGAGGAAGAATATGACAAGAGATGCGTAGACGCCATTGCACATCCATCCAAGTATTCTTGACCAGTCAAAGAAGAGGTTCTTTGTGCCTTGTTGGTATAACGCGGGGAACTACACAAGCACAGCTTCTGTTGATGAGCAGAGATTCATAATAGCTTGTCAAGATTTAGTTCTTAAAGGATGATAAATGAAGCTTACTTGTAAGCAGATCTCGGAGGAAACATCCTGTTCAAAGACTCCAAGGGCAATCACTGGCAATGAGGTAAGGAAAACATTGAAGAGCAATAAGTAGTAGTCGTTGTACACTGATTGTCCGGAAAACCCAGTGAAAGCCTCGAAATAGAAAAGAGTGAGACCAAATGCTATGTTTTTGTAGAAGAAATAACAGATCTGGATGTAGAAAAACATATTGTTAGAAACAAACTACAGGTAAGAGAGTAATCAAAACGGCCATAAGAACCACTTATTACCATTTGAGCTATCCTTTTGTAGCACCAGTGTCCATGGACGACGAGTAATCGTTCCAAAAACCGAAACTGGGCAATCGAAAAGTCACTAGCCATAACAGCCTGCAAAAGTGAGAATTGAGCAAAAACACCAAAATGGATTGAATTTCTAATGCACTTTCTACAAGTCGAGAAACGGGAAACATGGTTAGAAAACTAACCTGCATTCCTTCAACCCCACTAATTCCTACACCAATATCAGCTTCTTGAATCATCCCAACATCATTTGCACCATCACCTATTGCCAATGTAGTTTTTCCGGTTCCCTCTTTAACCAGCCTTGTGACCTTGTTTTTGAGAAAAAATTAAACAGAGAAATTTAGAATTCTCTTTTAGTAGTCACAGAGGAATGCAAGAAAATGAGTACAAAAGGCGAATATATATACCAAAGCCTTCTGCTTGGGAGACACACGACAGCAAATGACGGATGCACAATCGACTGCCAAAGCCAAGAATTGATACTTCATATCATCCTCCAGTGCATAAGTTAGAGTTTTCCCGTCAATGATTAAAGCAAACGCAGCATGCGGATCCTTCTCTAGCTTAACCATTTGTACAGCTTTAGTGAGTTGATTCAAAATGTTCTCTTTCACAACCTGACAAATCAAACATAGATACAAAATTAACTTTCGAAACTGTAGTGAAAGAAGCGGTCAATGAATGCTTTAAGCAATTTTGCAACATAAAACTCCTTTTGACATACCCTTTTTGAATCTTGGGATACTCCATCTGGATTTATTGATGTTATGCAAATCTGTCTCATGCCTTGCCGAAGTAAACTACACGCGAATCTGCAATTCATAAAAGATATTTTGTTCTTAGAAAGCAATAGATAGTAGCAGATTACAAGACTCATTTCTAACTTATATTGAAAATAAATAGGAGATTCTAACCCAATGTTGATTGCTGTTTCCATTTTGTCCCCAGTTAAAACCCATAACTTGAGCCCAGCTTGAGCAAGTTTATCTATGCATTGAGGCACCTAAGTCAAATGAAAAAGAAGGGAACTCAATTAACATAAGCAAGATAAAAGATGGACTGTGTGTGTCTGTAGAATAATACATACCCCTTTCTGGAGTTTGTCCTCCACAGCAGTAGCACCTATAAGGATAAGTTCTTTTTCAATCATATCTGCTCCCGTCTCAAGCAGCTCATCTCTATCAGATCCTATTGAAGTTTTGGCCTTAGAAAACTCAGAGTTCCAAGCTGTATATTCATCCTCATCAAGCTTTCTGTAAGCAAGTGCGAGTGTACGGAGTCCGGCTTCTCCATATTCAGTTAAATGCTTAGTGGTAGGTCCCAAGTATGTCTTCCCATTCTTTGCCAACCGATCAAAGATGATGCTGTAAAATACAAGAAAAAAAAAACTTGATAACAGAGAAGGGACAAAAACCAGACTATATATATATGGACAATTTGACACACTGCTTGTTAGATGCGTGAAGTTGTTTAATTTGGATGCTAACCTGTCGGCTCCTTTGCATAGTAGAAGAATCTGCCCTTCCTCATCGCGTACAATTACTGTCATTCGCTTTCTTTTGCTAGTGAATTCCAACAAATTCAGAACTTTATACTCCCTGCATTGTTTCTGGAACTTAGTAAGGATATGTGCAAACAAAGAGCCAAACTACATTGATGATGAAACCTCTACACTATTCTAACCTTTCGATTATTTGCCCTGAACCAGAGAACCTCTCGCGGATAAAAACGCTTGACTGGGTTCTCTTGAAGAACTCAAAACCAAACTCTCTGGCAGCAGCAAGAAAAGAAGCCTCATCAGGTGACTCTGCTTCATAAGTATACTTGCCAGTCTCCTCATTCAGCTCGGGAATAGCTGTGTGGCAAATTGCTAAAATACGGAAGAACTGCAAAATGTCATTTGGTTGTGATTCCCTCAACCAATTCCCATTCATGAGTCTGATATCCTCAAAACCAAATCCCTTTATAGGAGCTCTAGGAGTATGATAGTTATTATCGCCTCCTTCCACCTCGATTTCTTGCGTGCGGCTACTGTCCCATGTACCAAACACTTTAGTCTGAGACTGAGGAGTACTTGATATCTCTCCGTGCTCTTCAAGATCCACAGCTATCTGCTTTGCAGCAGCGAGTTCTACTTCGCTGGAACGCACACCGTAAGAAGTACCAGCAATAGAGCATTTCAAGAAATCCATCTGATTACATGTCAAAGTTCCTGTTTTATCAGAGAGGATAGTATGAACCTGACCAAGCTCTTCGTTTAGATTCGATGTCCGAGCTTGTGCAGGGACCCCACTCTCATCGTCATACATGTGTAAGTCTTGATTGATGAAACTTGCTTGCCAGACTTTGACAACCTCAATCGACACATAAAGAGAGATTGGAATCAAATATCCATAAAGCAACAGAGCAGTGATCAGATGGACAACCCCAGCGTAGATTGGACTCGGCGGATTTGTTAAATTCTCAGGCGCATCAGGTCGTAAGTACCACATTTTCGGCATGTGAAACTCTGTCTCCCAAGCAAATCCTGATGAGCTGATGCAAGAGATTAAGATAAGTAGGACAAGAAGGGTGTAGATGATGTAGTCCATTGTCCTTTCAATTCTGCTTCTCTTGGAAGGCGATTTTGTTGAATTCTGCATAACTTTAGTATCATGACCTGTAAATACCACCACTCCATAAACATAGGTTGTGTTCCTAAGCTTTGAGTCTCTTAAGAGAATCTGACTTGGATCCAAAGGAAATGTTTGCCGCTCATACTCCAGATTGCCAACAAAGGTGTAAAGGTTCGGGTTTGGATCTTCACACTTTATCGTCGCCATGAAATTCTTGAAAGATTCATCCTCATCGAGTGGCAATGACACTTCCAAAGACCTTTTCACTTTCAAGTTAGTTTCACCATCTAAATTCATAGTCTCAACGTAGCAAATCCCATCTTCGTAACTCGATGACAAAAGAAGCAAATCAGCAGG